TCTCTGTAAAACCCTTCAGACTCCCAGAGAGAAAGATCAGACAGTAAGTCTGACAAAAAATTTTTTGAAGGGAAGGTAATTGGCACAGAGATGTTGAAAATAGTGTTTGAAAAACAGAAAAAATGAATTACAGTGCCTCAGATTTGACATTTTAAACTAAAACTCTTTGCCTAAAATTGTCAACTCCCTCCCTGTTCAGGTCCAGGTGAGTTAAACACAGAAAAACAGAAGACTCTTGTGCCTCTTCTGTCCCCATGACAGCTTAAGGAGGGGCTTTCCTTTCAGAGCCAATGGGACATAAGAAGTGGCTGCTTCCTAAGGTGCCTCGGCAGAGGCGGAATAACCTCTTATTCTACGTGCGTAGTGATACCATCTCAGAAACCCAAGTGGGGTTGCTGTGAGTCGGCTGCGACTCCACGGCAATGGTTGCATTTTTGCGTTGCAAGAGTGCTGCTAAAGCATGTATGTATAAGTAGAATGAGGGACTGGACAATATGACCTCTGACTTAGCTTGCAAGTCTGAGAATAAATTATTTTACGAAAAGCAATGATAGAGATCTGTCTTTTTTGGGTACCTCAGAGAAAACAACACTTTTAGGAAACAGTAATATTACAACAGATAATACGTATTTCTGTACCTATCAAGCTCTTTAGGAGTATTACTCCCCTGCACAAAGAAAGGTAGGTTTCAGTGTTATTTTTATTTTAAAGGCAAATAAAAAGACTAAATATCTTGCTCAAAGTCAGAAAGCATCACATGGGATTTGACCCTAGGTATATGTGACTTGAGTCAGCTCTCACTCACCTACTCTACTGCCCAGCATCTCCTGAGCAAAACATCATCCCTCACTACCTCTTCCCAAATCTGCTCCATTTCAAAATGATTTAACACAATATTAGGTATGCTAAGAGAAGGAAGGAGATGTTGAAAAATATATACATACATATATACACAGTATATAAGATTTATTCCTAAGAAGTTTATAACTTGAAGAAACAACTAAAAGCAAGTAAAAATAAAGAATTAAGTTCTAAGCAGAATATAAAGCAGTCCTTGATGTCATTCATCAAAACTTCATCTTTATCAACAATGGGAGAATGACTTACAATTTGTGTCCTCTTATTATCATCTGTAATGATGTGGAGTAGTCTCTCAACAAGGAAAGCAATCAGTGAGATTGGGGTTGTGGGCAGAGTAAGAATCTCCTGTAAGATAGCCAGGAGTCGTTTTCTGCATTCAAAAACAAGTGTTTGAATTTAATATGCCTGTGACAGTGGAAACACATTTGCTCTCTAATAGTTCACCCATTCTACAAACTCAGTTACATCTGTCTCAGTTTTTTCAACCATGTTTACCCTAGAGTTAAGAAATTTTTAATTTTTGGTCAAATATTCATCTTTGAAGAAAAATAACTTTTTTTTCTTCCCCACTAGCCTCCTCTAATCCAGGAATCCAGCCCCATTTCTGTGTCTCTCCTGGACTACTGCCTATTTTCAAATCACTCAGAAAAATAATTTTTATAAATGACTCTAAGGTCTTTCATAAATACAAATAAGGAAATGACAAAATAGCAGAAGTGAATCGATCAAACCTTTTAAACAGTATTACTAGCCCTCTCTGGAATAATAAATACAAATAGAAATTTTTAACTAAAGAACTGCAATATTATTGATTTATTCTGAAGAAATTGAGTAAGGAGTTCCTATATATTTTGAAAACAAAAGGAAATTCTTTCAATAGCATTTTCAATAGCTAGGTAATACACAGTTATATATACATGTTTACCTGTATATTATAATAGCACTACATTTTAATACAGGAAATCAGAACAAATTAGGACAAGTGTTAACATTCAAACATACCTTCCTCCTTCCTCATCGGTATCCAAAGACTTGATAATTAGAATCAATTGTTGACCTATGAACTCTTTTGTCATCAAATTTCCAATATAGGCAAAATCACCTCTCTGTTCATCATTAACAACTGGAATGCTCCGAATGTAACTAAAACAAGGAGAATTAATAAAATAAAGACTGTTAAAGACCATCAAACATGAATTAATTCCCAAGAAGAGGTCAGAAAAGGGTCTTTTCAGTTCACGTTACTCCAAATATGGATGTTACAGATTTTTGTAAACAAACTGACTTGACTGAAATGTATTTTAAAAATGTATTTTCAATAAAGATTCTATAGGAAACTTTCCAAAGGTACAAATTTTTGTTGTTCAAATTGGTAGCTAAGTATTTCAATGTCATAGCTTCTCCCAATTATACAGGTCCACTCCATTAGCTTCCTCATCCTGCCTGATCCACCCAACATTCTTTTGTTTAAAATAGTAATATGAGTAATTACATGAATAAGTTATGAATGACCTTTTGAAAAAAATAGAAAGACATGCATAGCTTTCTGAACTTGTACCACCCTTGCCCAATTTCCTTCTGACTTCCTTTCAGCGCTGGTGCCCCTAAACAAGCACCGTCCATTACCGTTCATCTCTAGCCTTTAACAAGCCTCCCCTG